CTTTACTAAACTGTTATAATTTCAGGCCGCCTGTTAGAGATGTCACTTTTATAAGAAACAAATCTCAATCGAACAAAGATAATGTCCTCACTAATATGATAAAAGAAAATATTAAGAGTTGCGTTGTGGATCATAATGGACTAGCGGATGGTCATGCTGGTTTGCGTTGCATTACAACTGTAATAAATAATTATATTAGGTATAAAATCATGAGAAAATATGTCATTGTTTTTAGGAGATTACTAACTAAATCTAATAAGGCAAAATTTAGAGAGAGCCTATTCAATTATGATTGGAACACTATGGGAATTAATAATTTCATTATGAAAATTACAAAAGTATTTCAAAGTTGCTTCAAAAAGATAAGAATAAAGCTTCCGACATTACTGTATAACATTTGTGAGATTTAAAATATATAATCATAAGCTTTTCAATATTTTTTGGCTTCAATGAATTTCTCCGAACATTTAAAATCCATTTGTACAATCGTGGTCAAGCGTGCCTATCCACCTTAAGGTCGTGTTTCCCGTGCGCTCACTTTGTATAGTTTGTACGGGGCGGAGTTTGACTTTTTTTATTTGGCACTAGCTGACCCGACAGACTTCGTCCTGTCAAAAAGATTTGTAATGTGGCAGTTTTTTTGCCTACGTATTTAAAAAAATTCTCCTGAACAGAACCGTCACCCTGGTGATAGGGCGTTGTGAATAAAAAATAATTAAATAAAACATATATAAGGATTTAAAAGTAAGTAATCGCTTTATTGTTAATCATAATTATTATTATTATCATTATTATTATTTGTTTGACTGATGTAATGACGTGGAAACTGATGCATTTTATCTCGCGTGCCGAAACTAATACAAAAGAAACGCGAGTTTCGGAACGCGACATTAAACTCCTCCAACTATGTATTCTGTGCTCCAACGCACACACGCACATTGTTTTGATAGATATGATCTTTGACGTTAGGAACACACCTACATTGCTTAGACAACAGTGAGTGCTTGTAATTTAATATGAACTTTATACCATAGCAATAAAGCTCAAATTGACTACGTTTTAGTTACAAATCATTTGTATGGGAAAAAGAAAAGGGCTATTTTTAGGGTTTTTCCAGCAATAATTCTAATTTTTCTCGCCGTAAAAACCATCCTTGAACTTCAACGAACATTTTAAAAAAAGATTTGGCCAAATTGGTCGAGGCGTTGTTGAGTTATGCGCTTACCAACACATTTTGCGATTCATTTTTATATATATAGATTCATGAATGGGCAACGATAGTTGGATGTGATGAATGAATAGTGCATATAATTTAACTTAGTTTTATATTTGTTTAGGATTTAGACAATGGACGATTCATTATTATGTGTTATTTAGTCCTCGTATAAGTTTGAAGCCAAAACCAGGGGCCTTACTCTTCACGGGTTCGAGTTACGATCAAAATCGAGAATTAGTGATTTGGTACTCTGGAAATCGATTGTAGCGCCAATCGAGGTGTGGTCGAATAGTGAACTACTTGAAATCGAATACCGCCGTTCGTCCTTACTACCGACGCTATCGAGATCGAGTTAACCTCACATTGAAATCGAAAACATATGTCAAATCTCTCGATTCGCAGGACGGTTCTTTTATACGATCGAAAGTGTGATTTATAAATTAATAACAATAGTAAATAGGTGAGTTTCTTTAGTGAAATTACTATGAGATCCAATAATCTTTCCTCGTGAGTGAAAGTGCATGAAATATTTAATTTTTTCTTAGTTTACCAATTCTGTGTTTGTGCTAGGATGGCACGGCTTGCGACACAATTTAATTTATTGGAAGAAGCCCACAAAGTTGACAGACGTCAAAGAAGACGTATGAGACAAATAGCTCTATACAGTGCAGCAGCCACAGAAATTAGCGACGAAGAATTTGTGGCAAATTACCGTATAAATAAAGAAATTTTTTTCGAACTTCTGGAGGTGCTTTCCTCATTTTTAAAAGCACCATCACGTAGAAGTGATATTCCTTTAAAATTTAAGGTGAGTTTTGGTTGTATTGACATAATTCACTTAAATTTTTGTGATAGTATTAAGTTAGTAATCCTAATAATTACGTAATAACTACTTACTACTTATCTTTTCACTATTAAATTGAATTGAACTTGTTACATTTTATTCTATTTGTTTCAGATATTGGTTGCTCTCTCTTTTTATGCATCAGGGAGCTATCAACGTCTCGTTGGAAGATCCCATGGTACTGCCATGTCCCAGCAGTCAGTGTCAAAGTGCATCAGAGAGGTGACCAATGCATTAAACCAACCAAATATACTCCAAGAATATATTAAGTTCCCAAGTAATGCTGATCAACGTAACAAGATAAAGAGAAAGTATATACATAACTTAATAAATAGATATTATTTAAACAACCAAAAACACAGAATTGATACAGAAATATTACATATTTTATAAATAAAGTGTTTTAATTTTAGATTCTATGAGAAATATGGAATACCTGGTGTAATAGGTTGCATAGACGGAACTCATGTAGCCATGGTGAGACCAACAGAGAATGAGGATTGGTATTTCAACCGCAAACATTACCATTCCAGAAACATGCAAATAGTACGTATATTCACTAATAAATTAAGTAATTCATGAACTTTTTAAAAGCTCTTATAAGATATTATTATTTGTAGGACTTAAATATCTCAATTTGTTTCAGATATGTGATTTTGATTTAAATATCATTAGTGTAGATGCATGCTTTGGTGGTGCTACCCATGATTCACACATCTTCAACCAACATGCTGTCAAAAATCACTTAATAGATCTAGTGAATCAAGGGGAGACAGTGTGTTTGTTAGGTAAGTGTTCATTTAAAATAAAAATTGTTTATTTATTGGAAAATGTTGAAGAATAAGTGAAGGTTATCAATGCCTAAACATTTTTTAATATGTTTGGTGAAACTGAACTTAAATAATTACATTTTGTTTTTAATTTCAGGTGACTCAGGGTACGCACAAAGAGAATATATGATGACTCCGATAGTCAATGCCACAGTTGGCTCTGCAGAGGAATAGGCTTGTGTCCTACAAGTGAAAATATAGGTTTTTGTTATATCTTCGAAAAATATGAACCATTTTAACTTATAAATGTTTAACAAAAGAAACTTTAAGTCACTGATTTTGAAAATATTACGCTTTGAAAACGTGAAAAAAGTAGAGAAAATCTACTACAAAAATTTGCTAAAATACATAAGGCATTAAATTAGATATAAAAAATGATACAACTTTCATTATAACAGCTATAAACATAAACGCACAAATAATAAAGATATTACAAAAATGTACCAGACGCCCTTACATTTTTCGCTACTGTAGCACCATGTGATGTCACTGAGTGCCTTAAATTTGTAGGTAGCGTTTTCGGCCAACTAGCAGCAGTTCTACAAACACAGCACCGTATCTCCGAAACTATTAATCGCAGACATGCTGTTACTTCGACATTATTTCTCAGATGTTAATGGACTATTTATTTATGAAATAAAAAAAAGTTGTCAACTAGCCTATTGTATACGGAGATACACTGTTCAGCACGTAACCGAGTGGAAAGAACTATAGGGTTGCTGAAAGCGCGATGGAGGTGTTTACTCAAGCATAGGGTGCTTCATTATAAACCCGATATGGTTTCTAAAATCATTAACGCATGCTGCGTGTTACATAACATGTGCAACACTGCACGTGTCCCAGAGCCCAGTGACGTGTACCAAATGGTGACGGAAGGCGCTGCGCTAGAGCCGGAAGAGCTTGCGTCCGCGCCACCACACACCTGAACCACCGCGCCCAGGCACGGCGCTAGTGTCACGTTAGAACTGCGAAGAGGAGTCGAAGCGCGCCAACTTATCGTTAATATGTTGTGGGCGAGGAGAAATAGAAATCAGTAAATTGTAAAGTAAAAAAGTCTTACTGATGATAAAACATTGGTTAGTTTTGATGTTCAATCCCTATTCACTTGTCTACTGGTGAAGGATTGTGTTGACATCACCAAGAAGAGACTTGAATGCCAGTGGAATATGAAGAATTACTGGTACACTAACTTTAACAGAGATGATGGTTGGAGGGTTCCAACAGCTTGAAAACCTATAATGTGTCAAGTGAAATCCTTTTCTAAAGCACGCACTGCTGGTCCGAATGATACAGTTAAGTTCTTTTTGTAAATAAGTAAGTTGGAGGTCGTCCACCCTCCCGAGTTATCTTTCGCCAGTTCTTTTTTGGAAGGGCCTCCCAACCTTGTAAACTGGTGGTAGCTTCAATAGTTTTCTAGAAGCTTAGGTTCGTCATATGTGTAATGGAACGTGTCTAAAAATATTGTTATTTAAATGTAATCATTAAAGGTAATAATTGTAAATAATTATTGAAAACGATGTCCAGAAGGATATCAAAACATCTAAGAAATAAAATTAAATACTGCGAGTTAACCCGTTAAAAGTTGTTTTATTTTAATATATAGCTCACAAGAAACTATAAGAAGTAAATAAATTTTAGAGTACATTATAAATTACTTTTATTTATAATTTTTAACTATTACATAAAATTCAGTACCTTAAACTCTACTTGTAACATTTAAAAGTATGGCACAGATAACAGTCTTAGTTTAAATTGTTGGTTTAATAATAATAATCCTTTTTATTGCACATACACACACAAGGAAAAGAAATGCATAGAAAGACAAAAAAAGTTACAATAGGCAGCCTTATTGCTAAAAAACAATCTTTTCTGAAATTTTGTGTCTATAAATAAACTACTCTTAATTTATACATTTGTTTGCTAATAAATCGCCAACCCATAACGCCTTTGTGTCCACCTAACTGTTCGGTAATTGTTAGAAAATAGAAAAAAGCGACTGTCCTCGAAGTGCACAGATGGGGTGCTTCTTCGAGGACAGTTGATTTTGTCTAATTTCTAATACAGCATTGTAAATGCATAATAATAAAAAATAACTAAAAACTGTTAGGTCCTAAGGAGACCGCCTTAAAGTTTCGAGTACATTGACCACCCTTGTACCAATTGTGGTTATGGCCTCGGCTATATTATTACAAGCTGCAGCAAGTGCAGCCATGTTTTCTTGCAAAGCTCTAGCGTGGATGAGTTCTGCCTCCACCCGCCTTTCTTCGATGGAGATAAGGCGATCTCTTTCGACTTGAATTTGAGATCGCCTTCCACGGTCTATCGTTGGTCTGTTAGATTGACGACTTAATCGAGCACGAATGCGAGGGCTTCGTCTTGGAGCTGTAGAGATAATAGTATAATTTAAAATACCAGTTTAGAATGTTTTGTACTTTATTCTACAAAGAATATATTTAGACAGTATAGCAAATAAATAGGAGATGTACAAATGGCAGCCTACTCACTAAAAGTGATTTCTTTCAGGCAAGCCATGGAATGTTATTAACTTATAACTATTAATCAGTATGGAACTTTTGCATAAGATAATACTTGTGTTAAATATTCGGGAATATTACATTCATATACATACCAAATAAAAATGGGTTTTATTAATTTGGTCTGTACAAATACAAAATTTCATTCAATCTGTTCAGTGAATGCTAATAAGCCATTAAAAACATCACTTTTTACTCTATTTATTAATGAATATTTATTATCAATTTAAAAGGAGCAGAAATGCAAAGTTTGTAGCACACTAGAATAATACAAACACAAACTTACTAGATCGAGTAGAGGCTAAAAGTGGAGTGTGGTCTGGACTGTGAAGTTCATTACCAGCAGGTAGTGACAAAAGGATATGATCGTCTTGTTGTTCCACTATTACTGGTGGTGTTGGTGCAGTGCTAGCCGATACTTCTAGATTTGATGGTCCCTCCTAAAATACAATAATAATTCAGAATTTGTTTAGCAATAGAAAAACAAAGTCATTTTCATTTTTGATCTTAATAATTAATTAATATGATATGGGTGATGGTGATATTGTTGGTTCAAACAGGGCATGTATTGTACCAATGAATTCTTTATTTAATTTAGAATTGATGATCAAATGATATAATGATAAATAACATAGGAAAACATTTTAAAAATTCTAAATATGAAATTAGTAATCAAGCGATTTCAAAAAAAAATTATATAATAAAAGTATTACCTGAGACGGCAGTATTGGAACACTAAACTGAGAGTCCCCTTCTGCAAAACCTCTTCCACCCAGTATAGCCACCATTCTCTCTTCTATACTGGTGAGTGAAGGTAAGTTGGCAGGTCCACCACCTCCGGTTCGGTTTGCATCTGCATTGCGTTGCCCTATAATCTTTTTTAGGGCATATTTTTTGTCAGTCCAAAACTGAAAAACATAATATTTATGAAGATAGCATTATTTGTATAACAAAATATATTAATGTTGGTTTATTTATTATCGTAATTGTAAAATCTCCAAAGCTTTCTTTTATTGTCATAATGTTAATTGCTATACCACTTGTTTTAATAAGTTTGATAAATATGACTATTATAATAAAATACACTGTCAAGGGAAATTAATAACTTTAAATACATAATAAATTCATCTAAAACTTACCTAACTCCAACCTTTGGCATCTTTTTGCGTTCCTCCCATAGCATTGAGAGTAATAGTTATTTGCTCCCATTTTCTTTTCGTCTCCCACTTTCCTTGGGCGGAACGCAGATGACCCTTTGCAATCCCTAGATTTTCTTCTAGGAAATTCACTAAAGCCTCCAACTGTGGATAAGAAGGCCGTGTACTCTGACTCATATTATTCTAAAAACAAAGTAAGAGTGTTAGGCTAGGGCTATTTCAACAATCATATAAAATGACTTTTCGCTTTGAATATTGTCACTAAAACTTTATTCGACTTTACATTATTAACAAGTTAATAAATAAGCACCACAAAACCACTTAAAACTTTTTAAACAAGCACTTAAAAGCACTTGAAACTCAAATTTTATTACCTACTTCAAATTACAAATTTCCCGCTATATTGTGCTTTAGTCAAGTGACACTGTCAGGGATGTTTTTTTTTATAAAGGCAAAGGTAACAAAACTCCAAATGTTAGATTCAAAATAAGTTAAGTTATACTAGCTATTTTGCATAGATTTCGTATAAAATAGCTTTTACTAACAGAAACTATACAAATTATGTTAGTATTTGAAAGAAAAAAGCCATTTTAAATTAAAAATAATAATTGGTAGTGACTCTATAAAGAACCTTTGAGTCTATGGTAATTACGTCATTAACCGGAAATGTTTAACGGATCGCCATTTTAGTTCGATCTCGACTCGATTATGATTTCGATTCGTTTGAGCTCCGGAGTACCGTTTAGAATCGAGTTCAAATTTTGTCGAGATCGAATCGAGATCGAACTTCGAGTTCAAATCAAATTCAAGAGTAAGCTTCCTGTTCCTGTGATAAGCGCGTTCAACCAAACAAACAAGAAAAATCTTAAACGTCTGAATATTATCAGTATAGATTGATTATAATAAACATATATAAAACACCATTTCTAATTTACAATAATAATAAAGAAAGAATGAAAAATAGTTTCATGTTAATTATAGTTAACAAAACTCTCAATTATAATAATGAAAGTTGATTTTTATAATATACTGCAATATTAATTATGTCTCATTCGTAAGTAAAAAATGACAATTTAAAAATAAGACATTATGTGTAAGTTAATCTACCACTTTTACCATCGTACAAACAATACAAGTTCTTGAGCTACAGTTATAAACTTCAATTTTCTTTTATTCTGTTAACATAGTATATTTGTAACAGTTTGACAACAATGCAATTGCTTAACATCTAATATTTTGTATCTTTAAGTATTTTGTCGGATAGTTCTGTAAGAAACTATTTGTTAAGTTTCTTTCGTTTTCGTTCCAGTTTAACTACTTTCTTTACTACAACTAACCTAAATATTTTAAATTCACACAATCATAGTTGTATTCAATTAAAAAGTAGAAATGCCATTCTTCCTGAAATAAGATTAATCTGCTTTTTGATTTTTAATAATTGATATAATATAGGTAATGCAATATTATTATTTATTACACTAGATATTTTAATTACAAAATGATTAGGTATATGCGTATAATAAATTAAATAAATTTATTTCATGATCAAATTCTCGAAATTAAGAGTAAAAATATATCTGTGAGAAACAATTAGTTAAGTTTCCAAGTCAATTTTATAATACATGAGCCAATTTACTTGTGATACAATAGAAATAGATAGAAGTATATTTTATTTAAGACTAGCTTTCCGCTAGCGGCTTCGCCTGCGTGGTCCCTATGGAACTATTTAGTAGGATAAAAGTATCCTATTATCTAAGTCAGCTAATACCCTACCTGTATACCAATTTTCATCAAAATCTGTTCAGTAGTTTCAGCGTGATCGACGGACAAACAAATAAACTTTCACATTTATAATAATAGTGTAATAAATAATTATCTAATATTTAAAACCGAAAGTTATTAATTTCATTTGATTGATTTGTAATAATTGGCAAATATATATTTTTTAAATATAACAACTTTAATTGAGCAAGGATCTTATGACAAAAAAAAAAAGTAAAAACTTAAAAAAAATTGAACCGACATCAAATTTAAAAAAGTGAAAAATAACACTTATCTTAAAAAGGGGTAATTTTTAAAGAAACTTAATGTTTCTTTAAAAAGTCGGGCGGGTAATATTTAATTAACTACAGAAGAGCCCGCTTGAAGTCGGTTTCATTTTTTTTAAGTTTTTATTTCATGCATTCACATCACGCATACTTAATGCAAATTTAAGACTTATACGGTTTTCTCATAGATGCAATTGCCAGATCTGGACCACACGGCAAGCACTAGCTTTCAAATAATTATCATCAAAATCGGTCCACCAGTCAAAAGTTACGAGGTAATAAACAAGAAAAAAAACGTACAGTTAAATTAAGAACCTCCTTCTTTTTTGAAGTTTGTTAAAAATATGATAACAGGATTAACTTTCATAAAATACAAATCATTTCTCTCTTTCATGGTGATTCTAAATAAGTATATCAATGTTAATTAGTTTTCTAGTTAGCAGGTGTTCAAATAAAACATAATTTAACGTTAAAAATTATTTATTTACTCTCATTTAATAAACAAATTAATATCTTAGCAAAATAGTTATAAAATACCCGACATAGTATAATAAACTCAAAATATATAAATTTAATTTGATTTTTTTAATGTATTTTTAGTGCTTTTTGTAGTAACATGATAAAAAATTGAATATATACCCCTATAGAATAATATAGCAAGTTTATTTTTGTTCTCTTAGTTGTTTACATATTTGAAAATGCCGTTTGGAGGACTTAAAATTAAATTTAGTATAGTTTGTGCAATAGAATTGCCGCACTCCGACAACGGCGGCGGCTTCTATGAAAGCAAATTACTTGCTTTCTTAGAAGCCGCCGCCGTTGTCGGAGTTAAACAAATCTGTAACAAAAAAACTGTTAAATAAAAGTCGTTGTGTCGTAACGATCGTTTATTGAGAACTGGACAAGATATACACCGCGCTTGCGCATGGATAAATTCACCTACCTACATTATATTAATAATATACAACACCTCCGTCTTTATTTAATAACTTAAAACAAAATACACAAATTATAAATTATAGCCTAACTTAGTACTAGTTGTCGACACGATCAAGATCGTTCTTTTATTTATTTACGAGTAGATATCATATAATAAATAGAAGAACCGTGTGATTTTATATAATTTTAATTTTCAATAATAAGACGATACCTCATGATGACAATTACTTATTACTCAGCTTATCTGATAAACAGATTGAAGATTGAGATTACCTAAGCACTTAATCAATTTTATATCTGTTAATCTATAAACAAGTAACAATCCAGAAATATTTTATATCTTTTATATGTACACCATACAATTCCTTCTCCAAAAAAAAATTAAGTGCTTTTATGAGATATAAAGTCAAAGTCCAATCCATATCTTTTCACAGGTATACGGTTTCTCAATGGAAATTTACGATGGTTGGGCGATCTGTGACTACTAATTTCTTCACTGTTGACAGTGACACTGGGACTTGATGTAGATGCTGCGGATGGTATCGGTGAGCCGGGTTGTTTGATGCTACCGTCAGCCTTATCCTTAATTTCTTGGGGTGCAGAATTGGAACTATGATCCGCTTGCATTAATTCGGTTCCAGATTCTTTGTTTTTATTAAGGGATAAAGGAAATACTAATGAAGGTCGCAATCGCTTATGGGTGGTTACTGGTGTCGATATTGTTGAGTCTAGTAATACGGTATCTTTTGGATTTGACACTCGTAATTTTAATTGGTCGATGTGTCTATGTACCTCGGTTCCCTCTGTATCATTTATTACACGATAATTCGTACTACCTAATCTGTTAATAATTTTTCCTGGAAGCCATTTTTTTGTACCTCTGTAATTCCTATACCAAACTAGAGTTCCGGGTTCAAAATGTCTAATGACGCCTCCCGCTCCCGTCTCCACTTTCGCTTGATGTTGGATGACTCGGGCGGAGCGGTCTGGTTTTAAACAGTCGAGCCGCATACGTAGATTCCTACCTAACAGTATTCTAGCTGGGCTCTCGCCTGTTACATAATGTTCTGTATTCCTATAGGTTAATAAAAAATTACATAAAGCTGAATGAACATCCAATTTTGATAATAAAGCTTTCTTAATAGTTTTCTTACAAATCTTTACGGCACTTTCCGCGGCTCCGTTAGAAGCCGGGTGATAAGGGGCTGAAAAAATATGCTCAATACCATTTTTTATCAAAAACTTACTAAACTCTTCGCTAACGAATTGTGGGCCATTGTCACTGACGAGTTGCTTTGGAAAACCAAACCTTGCAAACACTTCTAGCAGTTTAGTGATAACCATTTGTGACGAAATACCATTCATTCTAATTGCTTCTATCCATTTTGAACAAGCATCAACAACGATTAGATAGGTCATTCCTTCTATAGGCCCAAGAAAATCAACATTTATTCTCGACCAGGGGCTGCTAGGCCAGGGCCACGAGCGTGGCGTGTGGTGGGGCGGCGCGTCGGCCTCCGTGGCGCAAACCTCGCACGCACGGCATGTCGCCTCCACGGCTTCGTCTATCCCGGGCCACCACACATATGACCTGGCTAATGCTTTTGTTTTCACAATACCCATATGTGAGTCGTGTAACTCCGCGAGAACCTTATTCCTACACGAAGTAGGTATAACAACTCGCTGACCCCACATAATACAGCCTAACTCCATATAGAGTTCTGTTTTTCTGTTATAAAATGGCTTTAGCTCCTTTATATGAATCTCTGAGGGCCAACCGTCATTTATATAACTCGAAATTCTACTTAACAAAGGATCAGACCTAGTTTCCCTCTTTAAAATATTGTAATCTAATAATAATGACTCAATTGCAAAGTGTAAGTAAGTTTGTTCGGGTGTATCTTTTTCTTCCGCTGCTGTTTCTAAATAGTGTTCTTTTATTAATCTAGATAAGGCATCCGCTGTATTCTTGTCTGTACGGACGTATTCTATATTGAAGTCGTATGCAGAGAGCTTAATCGCCCAACGCTGTAAACGACTCGCAGCTGTACTTGGGATACCTACTTGAGGCCCAAAAATCGAAATTAAGGGCTTATGGTCAGTGCGTAAAGTGAAATTTCTTCCATATAAATATTGATGAAATTTATCTATTGCAAAAATAATCGCTAGCGCTTCTTTGTGGATTTGACTATAGTGTTTCTCAGCTCGCGTAAGCGCGCGCGACGCGTAGGCAACGACGCGCTCCTCGCCGCTCACGCCGGGCGCGCGCTGCGCCAACACTGCGCCCAGCCCGCGCGCACTAGCGTCACACGTTACTATAGACTGCATGGACATGTCAAAGTGTGCGAGTACTTCTGTGCTACATAATTTATCTTTGACCTTTCTAAATACAGATTCGTGTAATTTATTCCATCTCCAACGGTTACCCTTTTTTAATAAGTCATACAATGGCGTTAAATAAGTACTTAAATTTTTAATAAACTTTCCGTAAAAATTAACCATTCCTAAGAATGATTTGAGTTCTGAAGCATTTTTAGGGTTTGGCATCTCTGTGATCGCTTTAATCTTATTGGTATTGACCCTCACTCCGTATTTATCTATAACGAACCCCAAATAATGTACTTGTTTAACCAAAAAATTACATTTACTTTTCTTTATTTTTAATCCATTTTGTTTCAATACATTAAATACACGGTCTAAAGTCTTTATATGACTGCTAATACATTTACTTTTAATTAAAATATCATCGTAAAATACTACTACATCAGGGATATTTTTAAATAAATTCATCATGAATTTTTGGAATATTCCTGGGCTCGATGATAACCCATACACTAAACGATTGTATTTGAAAAGCCCTCTATGTGTATTAATCACTGTATACTTTTTTGATTGCTCATCAAGCTCTAATTGATTATAGGCTTGTGAGAGATCAAGTTTAGAGAAAAAAATATTTCCTGCCATCTCACTAAATAAATCATCTATTTTCGGAACCGGGTACCTATCGACCATTAAAACACGGTTGAGTGTTACCTTGTAGTCCGCGCATAAGCGAATACCACCGTCAGCCTTCCGTGCGATAACTAGCGGTGTGGCCCAGTCGGACCGGTCCACCGGCTCGACGACGCCGGCGCGCAGCATCGCGTCCAGCTCGGCATCCACGCGCGCGCGCAACGCATACGGCAAGGGGCGCGCCGCGCAGTACATGGGTCCTGCTCCTGGTCTGACCCCCAGGCTCACCGATCCACCCGTGTATTTTCCCAGTGTACCATCGAACAGTTCTTTATGTCTAGAAATAATATTTTCAATCGAGTCTATATTACTAATAACCGAATGTTCTTTAAGACTATTTACGCTACATTTAGGTATATCGATATCTAATTCAGATAACCATTGTCTGCCTAACAGGTTTGTCGATCCGTTATTGATGACATATAAATCTAATATTTTATTCACCCTGTTATATTGAACACTCGTCGATAAGTAGCCTAATGGCCGCACTACGGAACCATCATAAAACTTTAATTTTAATTTACAAGGATGCAATTCTAAATTATTATACAACTCATTGTAGGTCGATTCACTAATACAGGACAAAGCTGATCCCGTATCGACTTCCATTTGTAATTGTTTATTATGTACTAATAGTGACATACGAACCGGCTTATACTTTGTCAACGACATTTGATACATTGGTTCCTCGAGATTTTCTTCCTCGGTGTTGTCGTCATCGACATTCGGTTCGCGCACCCAGTACGTAGCACCGCTGCTGCTCGCTGCCGTCGCTGCCGAGCCACCCGTACGGCGATCTCGGCCTCGGCTCGTTCCGTCGGCGCTCGGCCGCGTTCGTCCACGGCGCGACTCCCAGGTGCCGCCAGCGTCGACGCCTCGCTGTGCGACCGTTGAGTTAGACATCGTACCTACCCGCATTTCGGTACACATTCTTCTGAGATGCCCTTTTTTATGACACCCACTGCATTGAAAATTCTTGTATCTACATGCTGATGATCGATGATTAAAATTCCCGCACACGAGACATTTGTTAATATTCGCCATATTCACTTCCGTTTCTGTAGCCATCAATTTATTATATTTCACCGCGTTCGCGTCCCGTTCCGCTGCTTCCAGTGACATCGCCAGATGGATAGCTCTCTTATAATCGAGTCCTTCCTCTGCAAATAACCTTTGCCTTATGATTTCACTTCGAAGTCCGCATACAAATTGATCCCGTATGTTTTCTTCGAGCTGCCCTCCGAAATCACAATATCTCGTCAGTTTTTTTAATTCCGCAACATATTTGGCGATGGATTCGTCCGTATTTTGCCGCCTCTGCCGAAATATGTACCTTTCGGCTAATGTAGACGGTTTTGGCTGTAGATGTGTTTGCAATAAATCCACTGCCTCCTTGTACGTGAGTGCGGACGTCTTTTTAGGGCTCGCGAGTGTCGCAAGCAACTCGTATGCTGCTTCTCCCATTACCGCTATCAGTGTAGGCAATTTGGCCTCGTCTGTTATTTTATTCGCGAGGAAATACATTTCTACACGTTCGGTGTACGCACTCCAGTTCCCAGTCGTTATATCGAAATCTCCGATTTTACCGATCGACATCTTGCTTTCTATTAATACAAATCCCCGACACAACCAGTTGTATTATGCACTACGTTACTATTCCGTATTTTCCTCGTCGCCAATGTTAAATAAAAGTCGTTGTGTCGTAACGATCGTTTATTGAGAACTGGACAAGATATACACCGCGCTTGCGCATGGATAAATTCACCTACCTACATTATATTAATAATATTATATTAATAATACTGTTTTGTCTTTATCTGTCTTGCATTGTTGTTATCTATGTATATGCTCTTAGTTTCTTATCTCATATTTTTGCTACCACAATTTTTTCATTTGTTCTTTCCGTAAACCCAATAAAAATTAACGAGGACACGTGCGTGCTGCTACTACTATAACTACTTGCACAAAAAATATAAAGGGAAATTTTTAAGAACTTTAAACTGTGTCAATTCTAAGAAATATTGAGGATTGATCTAAAACACAGTTTCAGTTAAACTAAATAAACAAGAGAAAAATCTTTGTAAATAAATATGAACAGATTCCAAAAAAGGTCACCAACAGTTGTCATACAATAATAACAATAAAAGTAATGATATTTCCCCTCAATATTAACTTATTTATGTATCTTTATGGATTTTGATTTTAGCTGTTTTCCTAATAATATAAATATCAATTTCATGATACAAATAATTTGAAAACACAAACAAAGAAATATTTGTTTAACACAATTAGTAATTAATTAGTGATAATTTTCTTTCGTTATCGTTCCAGTATTTAGATGTTATCATATTTATAACATTAACTACTATCTTTACTACAACTAACCTAAATACTTTAAATTTACACAATCATAGTTTTATAAAAAAAATAGAAATGCCATTCTTCCTGAAATAAAATTAATCTACTTTTTGATTTTTAATATTTTTTTTATGGGATAGGGGGCAGGGGGGGATCACCTGATGGTAAGTGATTACCGTCGCCCATGGACACCTGCAACACCAGAGGGGCTACAAGCGCGCTGCCGGCCTTGGAGGGAAGGGTAAAGGGAATGGAAT